CAAGAGCTAGGCACCTGAATTGGGGAAAGAAAAAGAATTGTCGCAGTCTCCAAACTAGGCCAGGTTATATGCAAAACAAAAACATATTTCGAATAGTAATTGGCACAAGAAGGCAAACACATAGTGCCAAAAGACATACTCCCTCTGTTATATATATATATATATATAACAGAAAAAAACTGTATTATACAATTTAAGAAAAATGGTTAGCCACAATAATTGTATCAAAAAATAAAGAAATTAAACTAAAATACCTTATGTTAATCAACATTAATATGCATTAATTTTTTTTTTATTGATGTAAATTGTGAGGGGTGATTTAAAAAATTTGTAATAATGCTTATTGAAATATGCGATTTTGTTTAAAAAACAAATCAAAAGTGGCATTTTCTCTAACATAAAAACGGAAGGAGTAACAATAACTGCACTTACAAAAGACAAAATTACAACACTTTGGATTAAGGTTCATCATTAACTCTTTCTGGAAACCAAGCTCTCCCTTAATGGAGATCAAATATGAAAGATCAAGTATCATATAAAACATGGAGAAGCATGTTGCAGTAGGTCCAAATATTAATGGCAAGAAAGTCAGGCATTAGTGGAGAGGGTGATGGAGAAAGTCTTGGTTATTTTTTCCTTTGAGATTAATCAATTATTCAAATAATGGTGACCAATGCATTGTATAATGTCATGAAATTTTTATGATTAACTAGAAAAGGAATTATAACACAAGAACATCCAGCCATGTCAATATGATAGCAAAATCAGGGGAAAGACTGATGAAATTATTTATGATCATGATATATTTACAGAAAAATGCTCACATTTTTAAGGGCATATCTTTGTCTTCAAACGTGATGGAATAGGGTTTTATTTATGGCCTCTCTTTGGTGTTCTACACCTGGCTTTTTAGAAGGCAATATGTGTATTTGATGTACAGACAGGTTATAAATCTTTGCTACATTCTTGAGATTTCAAGGCTCAGATTTTTCTTTCTTCTTCTTCTTCCTCTTCTTCATTATTATTATTTTTGCAAGTTTAGGACAATATTTCAATTTTTCTTTCCTCTTCTTTAATTTCTCTCTAATTAATTTTCAGAAAGTATTAAAGAGGAGATACCACATCTATTGGTAGTTTCAAGTCTGGTCTTCAGAGCATGTAAGAACATTAATGGGTACAGTGCACCAAAATGCAAGTCAATGCTGTATGGGTTCTTTAAGAGTTGACAGGATGCTTCTACTATCCTTGCATTTCTTTCCAACTTTCTTTTACTTATAGGCAAGACTTGCAGCTAGTGAGTACCTATCAAACTGTAAGAAGGTTGTACCTTCAATGAGTCGCAGCAGTGCAAAATTAGCTTCTCGTATGATGAGGATGAAGGTGGAACTTTCACTGTCTGGTGCAATTCCTTGAATTTTGAGACAACATCCTCCATCTTTCACCATACCAACAATAGACATAAGGATCGTGCATAATAGAACATTTTTGTGAATAACAGACACTATAGACAATTGTTATACCAAAAAACAAACTGTCATAAGCAACTTTGAGTTTCTTGACATTCATATTCAATGAAGAGGAAGAAGATTCTTGGGAGTTGGGAATGAAAAGGAGAAGATTAAAACAAAAAATCCTTCTGATCAAACAGGTATCATCTACATTCTACAAAATACTAATACTTGACAAAGAAAGTTGTATTGGTTCAAACGTATTTGATACTTGCGTAAAACATGACACAACATTTCAAGTTGCATTTAAACACTATATCTGTCCTATCACATTGCCCATATCATGTTGTGTTCTACATCTGTGACAGTGCAAGTGCTTCCTTAAGGTCCAATAACAAACAAACAAACAACAACAAGCCTTTATCCTTAAGGTCCAATAAATTCTTAATATGGCTTTCAACCACAACATATGTATGGATGTTGATCAATTTGAGCCTAGATACGGCTGGATCATACCAAATCCATCAGTAGATGATACCTCATCTCATTACATTCACACATGATAACATACATGTATGCTTGTCCTTTCCATCTAAAAAGAGTCACTCATATGTTCCAAGATCAAGGAATTGTTCCAAATGTAGATTCTAACAAAACTTAGCAACTAGCAAAATGGATTTAATATAGCATCCATTATGCCACTTTACCTATGTTTACAGACGGTCCCAAGCCCGGTAAAGGAGGGTTGCTTTAAGCCCTCAACAACCAAAATAAAACTTTGTTGAATCTCATATGAATATGGGCAATAGACGCTTTTGTGCTAATGCTAGGTTGTTGCTAGTAAGTAACGTGCTACATGACTAGAATGCAGTGACAAGTGAATTAGAGCCACTACATCAGCACTTGGAGTCAAATGTAGTATTAAATGAACAAGGGCTACCACATTATTCTGAACGAGCGTGGCTAAAGTTAGTTCATTGGGTGAGATCAAATTCAATACTCAGAATGTTAAGACCTTAAATTGTAAATCTATAGGGTGGTAAGAATTATGATTCATAGAAAAATTAATATTTTGTGCCTGCAAGAAATTTAATGGTTTGGTGAACAAGCTAAGGATATTCAAGAGTTCAAGCTTTGGTATACAAGGGAAGTAAGTACACGTAATAGGATGGGTATCATTATTAATAAGGAGTGAAAGAAAAATGTGATAGAAGTTAATAGAATTGGCGACAGATTTATTTTCCTAAAAATGAATGTTGGATGTGAGACTGTCAATATTATTAGTGCTTATGTACCTTAAGCCAGGGCTAAAGCCGATCTTAAAGAATTGTTTTAGGAAGATTTGGATGGGTTGATTCAACGCATACCATAAAGTAAAAAGATCTTTACTGACACTTTAATGGTCATGTCGGGAGAGGCAGGTCATTATACAAGGGTGCATGGTAGTTTTGGTTTTGGGAGCTAAACAATAAAGGATAATTTATTCTTGATTTCTCTTTGATATGTGATTTCAAGATTGCCAACACTTGTTTTAAGAAGAGAGATGAGCATCTAATCACCTACAAAAGTAAAACCTCAAGGTCACATATTGATTTCCTTTGGATAAGAAACACGGATAGAAGATTCTGTAAAAATTATAAAGTGAATCCTAGGCATGCCATAACAACACAACACAAAGTCTTTGTCCTTGATGTGCATATTACGAGTAAAAATCAAACGACTAGTAGTAACTCTGAGGAGTACGTGGTGACAATTAGCAGGTAAGAAGCGAAAAATTTTCAAGCAAAATCTTTCGACACAAGAAATTTGGAAGTCTCAGGAAAATGCTAATATCTTGTGAGGGGATATGGTTAAGAAGGTAAGGAAGGTTGCCACAAAAGTTTTGGGAAAATCAAAAGGTATTGGTTCAACAGATAAAGGGTCTTGGTGGTGATTCATACAGGAAAAAGCCAAACATAAGAAGGAGTGCTTTAAAGCTATTTGTGCAATAATGATGAAAATTAGGAAAGATATCGTATGGCCAAAAAGAAAACTAAGAAAGTTGCAAGTGAAACTCGTTCTAGAGCATTTGAAAAGTTTCATAATGGTCTTAAGACAAAGGATGAAGAACGAAAAATTTATAAGATTGTTAAAAGTAAGGAAAGAAAATCAAAAGATCTGGAACGAGTAAGGTGCATAAAGGACGAAGAGGGAAGAGTTGTGGTCATAGATGGTGATATTAAAAACAAATGGAGAACCTACTTTTCCAAACTTTTAATGATAGAGGGGACTCGTCTAGTAACTTGGAGAATTTAGTAACTTGTGAAGGAGAACAAAATTTGTCATTTTATCAAAGGATACACAATAGTGAGATAAAAGAAGCTTTTAACAAAATGGCAAATGATACAGCCAATGAACCTGATTGTATCCTATTGAAGTGTGGAAATGTTTAGGTGAAGAAGGGATGAGATGGCTAACTAAATTATTTAATGAAATCTTACGATCCAAGAAAATAACTGACAATTAGAGGAGAAGCATCTTAATTCCTATTTACAGAAATAAAAGGGATATTCAAAATTATGCTAACTACAGATAGATTAAACTTATGAATCATACAATAAAATTGTAGGAAAGAGTGATTAAGCATAGATTGATATTAGAGACTAGTATTTTTTATAATCAGTTTGGCTTCATGCCAGGAAAGGTAGCTACAAAAATGATTTATCTACTAAAGGAATTATTGAAAGAGTATCGATACAAAAGTAAAAATTTGCACACGGTTTTCATTGATTTGAAAAAAACTTATCAAGAGAAGTATTTTGAAAAGCTTTGGAAAAGAAGGGAGTCCAAGTTGCCTATATTAGAGTTATATAAGATATGTATGAGAGGGACATTTGGCGGTGAAATAAAGGACTTTCCTATAACAATTGAATTACATCAAGGGTTATCTTTGAGTCCTTATTTGTTTGACTTAGTCCTAGATGTTTTGACTAAGCATATTCAAGATGAAATTCTCACATGCATGCTTTTTGTAAATGCTATAGTTTTTATTACGGAGACAAGAGAAGAAATTAACTGTAAACTTGAGTTATACAGAGTTATGGAGGAGGACATTAAAGTCAAAAGATTTTCACTTTAGTAAGAGTAAGACAGAATATTTATATTGTAATTTTGATAAAAGGTCAGTCAATAATAATTTGAAAGTGACATTGGGAGACTAGATTATATCTCAAGTGAAAAAATTTAGAAACTTGAGAGTTATTATTTAACATGATCGGGATATTGCACATGGGATACAAGTTAAGTGGTTTAATTGGAGAAAGACTAAAAGGATCATTTGTGATCATAAGGTACCTAATAAATTTAAAAAGAAGTTTTATCGAACTATTATAAGATCAACTATGTTATATGATAGTAAATGTTGGACTGTAATGGGACAACAAAAGCACAAAGTTGGAATAGCAGATATGAAAATGTTGAGATAGACATGCGGAAATACACATAAAGATAAAATCCAAAATAAGTGCATATAAGAAAAAACGAGCATAGCATTTATTGAGAGGAAAATGGTAGAAAATCATTTGAAATGTTTTGGACATGTACAAAGAAGATCATGGACAAGCACTAGTGAGATGAGTGGAATAAATAGTTTTGAGCCCTATTAAGAGAAATGGAGAGATAAAGAGAATACTCATAGAAGTTGTTGACCAAGACTTCTTAGTTAATAACATTCATAAAAGTTTGGTAAATGATAAAGCACAATAATATTGTACAATCTATGATGTTAACCCCACCTAATGAGATAAGACTTATTGTTGTTGTATAGCATCTAGCATGCAAAGTCTGAAGTAACATTATCAAAAATAAAAATAAAACTAAAAGCATAGTTCTGTAATGAAACAAACTGCATGTGTTCAGAAGTACCTCGTGGTTTTCCAGTCTTAAATGCTGTACAACAAGAACTAAATGAAACTTCACTCACCGCTAAATTTGGCATGCTGACAGCATACCTAGCAATGAAGTTTGTGATATTATCTGCTTCATGATCTGCATTATTTCAGGAAATATTATTAAAACACATTCAAGGCACAATTATTTATTCAGATTGGATTTCTGAACTTTTGCAGAATCACAAACCATGCAATAGCAATCTAATTGCATATTGGACGACAATTAAAAAAAACATAATTCACTTCAATTCCAGCCACAATGAAACTTCACAATATAATAAAAAATTGACAACAAATGCCAATTTTTTCCCTTCCCTGCATGGAAATTGATGAAGCCTTTGAAGCACAATTTATGACAGTGAATAAAAAAAAAACATAACATTAACATGATTTGACAGATAAAAAGAACATATACAAAATACTTTTCTTCTTTTTAAAACGGAATTAGATTGTGGGCTTGTGCTTTACATAAAGTCTGAGGTGAGCCATATTATTCATGGCTTATGAATAGTGAATTTTTTTTTTTAATAAATTTTATGTTATGTATAATATAGTTATGCAACCTCTAACAGCATCCATACAGGTGTTTACAGGGATATATAATATCATCATCATCATACCACACATTTTGAAATCCAAAAGGAACTTCTCTGCAACAGGTTCCAACAGTAGTTTTCCTAATGATTGAAATATCTTCGCTTTAGATTCTGCAGATGAAAGCTTTTTTATGTCTACAATTTCCAACACTTGCAAAATATCCTTCTTCCGATCACTTTCACAGAGAGCCAATAAATAATTTTCTGCAACACAAGTTGAATCCAGTCAGTGTCCATACTCCTATTACATGAAACAAAATTTCTACCATAACTGGCAGTCAAGATGAACAAAAGGTAGCATTATGTTTATACTTATGAAACATTGCCAGATTCACAGATTTTGAGACACATGCCAGCACAGACATGCACTATTAATCAGCAAGATGCTGGCAACGTGCTTTGAATACAATTTGGAAGAATTTGTGCTTTCTCACAATGTTTCTGATAGAGGTCAGATCATTCAGATAAATGATAAATCTATTGATTACAACACAATAACATAAAACAATCATGCTGGTGCAGTTCTCCACAAAGTTCACGTTACCCAAAACCCCACTGCATGCGTAACAGAACAAAAACACCATGAAAACATCATCCTTACTTCTATGCTTAATCCAAAACCTCCGGTGAGATCGTCGCTTCTTTTAAAAACCTGAGCTAGATATTTGAATTGACTACTGTTAAACAAGTAACAACATATCAATGTACATGAAAAACGGATTCACCTACCTCGTAATTCTGAAGTGTCTGCACCATCATTGTTTGCAATATAGGCACAAGCATCTCGAATCTTTTCTTTATTATTAACTCTTAACCAGAGCATCATTTCATAGTAACCCAATCTTGAAATTGAGCTGGGAATTTTGTCTTTAATCATGTCAGTAAAAAACTGAAATTCTTCTACCATGCCCATTTCTATTATATGCAAAAGAAGTGGGCGATAAGTTTTCTCTTCAAGCTGAAAACCTTGTTCCCTCATTGATTTTAAGATGCTAAACACCTTGGCCATTTCTTCCATTGCAATTTCCTCATTTTCAGCCTCTCTAGCCTTATCTATGCATATTCCTATCAGTACATTGTAATCTTTCACACCTAGCTCTCGTCCCAACTTATGGAACAACTTAAGCACAGCTTCTGCTCCCAGTTTATCAGCACAAGACACAAGTAACTTGCCAAAACGTTTTGATTGTTTGGATTCAAACATACAATTTCGTTTCTTTTCACGAGAAAACTCTTTCCGCTTCAGAGATATTGTACTATGAGACATGTTCATCAAGTGTGATATATCTGACATTTTTTCCAAATCTTTTGCATTGTCAAATTCCCCTGGTTCAGGTCTGTAGTCTGACTGACCAGCTGCAAAAAAGAAACTATGCACTGATATAACTAATCTCTTAGAGAAGAAAAAGTTTACAAATTAGAGGTGGGAAGATATGAAAAAAATGCATAAGCCAATGCAGATTTTTGTCGCCTTGCTAAATAAATACTTTTCATAGAAGATAATTTTGTAGTTCACCCATAATGAAAAATTGTGAGGGAAAAACAAAGCTCTTTCCAGTGATTTTAACTGCTAAAGTTAGGCATTCTTTCTAACAATCCTAACACTGGATAGAAAAAAAGTTCTCCAGAAGCACGAACTTTAAATCTTACATCCCTTATACTGTCAAGATGACCATGAGAATTTCGAATGTGAAAACCCAACACTTGCAGGAAAACATGAGGAGAAATTATGAGTCCGTGTGCCAAAATACAGAGCTTTCTCAATTTTTATTTCTTGTTAGTAGGGGCCAATCCAGGAACATTTCTTACTCTCTCCAGTCTTTATTATAGGATACTTTTAATCATTTCATACATATTTTCTTGATATAATAAAAAATGAGACATACTTTTTTTACCCCTAATTTTAAGTCATGATACAACTATATTAAACATGTTTACGTTAAGAAATAATAAAATTGAAAAACATGATTTAGTTATTACAAAGTGTCATACATTTTAGACAGAAAATTATTTAAGGTTTCCTACAAATAAGATCCGAGGGAGAGTTTTTTTTTTTTTTTTTTTGAAGGGGGGTTGGGGGAGCAAAACTTAATGGAAAACTTGAAACCATACGTTAAATTCAACATACACTTACAGTCCAATATTGAATGGATTCGCTTATACACCATACTAGGCAGATCCTCTGCAAAACCAGAAATAAAGATGAATTGCCCAAAAATACAGAGACAGACAATAGTATGGTAAGTGTGAAAACAAAAGGCACAGACAAATATATTTTGCACATTGACCATAAAAAAGTAGTACTAGTATTATAATGCAGACCAGTTCTGGCTTACCCAGAACTGGCTTATCGTGCACATTTATAATCAAGGAGTTAATGTACCTGAGTCAGATGCTTGCTTAAACCTGAGGCTTGAGAGTGCACAATCACTGTAGAGTTTCGAATTGAAGTTTTTAGAGAAGGGTTTGCTTAGAAGAGAATATTTGAATGTGCTAGAGTTTCCTGCTGAACGTATGAGTGTGCTCAGAGCGCTAAGGGTTTTAGGTTTGGAGGCGCACATCTTTGCTTGAGCGGATTAGTTTGCTTTCTATGTTGAATTCTGCTCCTCCCCCTTTCTTATCCCTTAATTTCTTCTCCCTGAAACTCGCAAATCGTTGAGATGCTTTGAGATGAAAGCTCAATGAATTCCTCCGACTACAAAGCCGCAGCACGCACAGGCACAGCCATCGTGAACCTGGTTTCGGTGCTCATCAAACGCGGGCTCATCACTCACTGCAATAAGATCTCCAAATCAGATTTAAATTTTGGTTATAAAAATTATAAAATAATTTTAATAATTTTTTTATTTTTAATTTTATCTAAATTTAATTTGGAGGTTCCATTTCACGTTAAACTAGGCTCATATTCCAAGCGTTGCACGAAGTTGACATGACACAATTGAGTGAATTGGTTGATACTATGTTGATTTAAAAATATAAAATATTTTTAATTAAATTTTATTTTTTAATAAAGTAATTATTTATTTTTAAATTAACTCTATCTTTTTATATTTACTTTCTACTAATTACCCTACGATAAATATGAATTCATTATTAATAGGGACACTTTTAAAAAAATAATGATTACATCTCAAAAGATTAAAAATACTTATATTTTTAAACATCCAACTCCTTAAAAAATATCTTATATTTTTAAAATATTGTTTGATTCGGGGGGTGGGAGGGAAAATTTTAAAATTTCCCCTCCCCCTCTTCTCCAAAACCTTCCCCCTCAAATTGAGAGGAGCTCTCCTCTCCTCCCCTTCCCTCCCCCCTCCTCTTCTCCCCTTCCTTCATCTCCTCCCCTCCTCTTGAACCAAACGAAGCTTAAATGTAAAGAGTACGACATTTTTAATTTTAAAAGTTAATAAAAAATGTCATTTTTTTATATTTTCTTATCAAAAGCATAAAATTGGCCAGAGCCAATTGAATGGATTGAGTGACACTTTAACATTTTGAATACTAAAATTTAATTAATAATGCCATCTTAGATTTTCTTATCAAAATGAAGTTTTTTAAAAAGATAATTTCTAAAAGATGGAAATAATATAATTATTGATGGTGTCTTTAATTTTTTTCTGCTTAATTTTAATTATTATTTGGATTCATGTTTATAGAGTACTTTCATGAAAATTATCACTTTATTGTTAAGGTGAAAAAATGAATGAATGTTTTTATTTTGTTTTATTTTTTTAATTGAACACATTTTGTTAAAGAATAATAGAGACTCTCTAGGTATAGCTCATATTATACTATTATTTTTATTTAATAAAAAATTTAATATTATTTTTTTTATTTTTTTCATATTATACTATTGATTAATTAATAATATCTCTAATTATTAATATTATTATAGAATTTAAAATGTTATTGAAGCCAATTCTAATTATTGAAGGTAAAGGTAGGTGATATTGAAGCCAATTCTCTTAGAAATTATATATATATATATATATATATAAACTTATATCTATTTGTAAGCATGAGCTTATCACATATATATATGTGTGTGTGTGTGTGTGTGTGTGTGTGTGTGTGTGATAAGCTCATGCTTACAAATAGATATAAGTTTGAGAAATAGATCAAAAGCGTCAAAGAATGCAAGACAATAATTTAAGAAATAGGTGAAATGTATGATCCATTCATAAAATAAAGTCAAAAGAAGCACGCTACTGTATGAAGTGCCATATACTAAATATAAACCATGATGTGTAATAGATCATTGACATAAAAAGGGGCGAGAAAGGGGGAAAAAACACTCCTAAGTAGCAGGGATACAAAATAATGCCTGCACAAAAGCTTGAATTCTAAAGGGGTGCCCAAAAATGATTTTCAAGGAATAGGAGATCATTTCTCCTTTTTGATGAATGAAGGATTCTCAATAGCACTAAATGTTGGAGTACATAAATCAGTAGCAATTTCAAGGTCACTAATGTTCAAACTTGGCCTCTTTTTGAGATTCTCTTCACCAGTTGAAATGCTATCAAGAGTGGCTAACTCTACTTCATCGAAAACTCTTGTTGGAACCAGATGATCCAATAGCAGTAGGTATAGAAGTATTATTTTTGGATATTGTTTTTGGTGGCTATTGTTTAATGATTAAGAAGAATAAAGTAGGTTGTAGATAATTGGATAACTTTAGAAGAAATGACCAACAAGAGAAAAAAGAAGACCTTATGTTTTTCAAGGTTCAAGATAGTAGAAGTTTGGTAGAAAAAATATTATAAGAAGCTAGACCACATAGGGTTGTTTGACTATATTAATACCATAGGTGAGAAAGATTTAAAAAAAACATGTTGAAACCCATCCAATTGTAAAAGTGAATTTGTCAAGTATCTCATGAACTTTACGATATTCGGAGAAGCTTATAATAACAAAACATTGATAGATGTTGAAGTCATAAAAATTCAACCTCATAATCATTTCCCTGCCAATTAGCACATCCAAAATTATTGGAAAAGAACCTGCCCTACTTTTTTTGTAAGAGAAAATCATAATAACATGTGTTTGAAAAAATATAAATAGGGAAAATCTTTAATGGTTAAAGATCATCATATTTTCAATAGATATAACATATATAAACTGACTTATAAATATAAAATATGGGTATGAAATCACCAACTAGCATGTAAGTTGCAAGAAGATCTGCAATACCATCTGAGAGGTTGGGCTCAACCTGCATGAACACAAGAATGATAAATAATAGATGCAAATTCTAATTCAAATTAACATTTTATTATTCGAAAACTGCTAATAGAATAGAAATTTGACTCATACTGTATTAAAGACCTTATTTGATTATATTTTCTTAGTAAACAATATGCCTTAAATAATTGAAAAGCATTGTAATATGCCTTAAATAAGTATCCCAAACTAATTGAAAAGCAACAAAATGATATTTAAGTAAACAAAATGAAACAATAGAATGATGATGGTGAGGTTCACCTTTCTTTCTTGATAAATCAAGGATTCTCAATGCAGCTATGGCGGTAAAACAAACTTGAGACCTATAATAATAAAATAAAGTTGATTGTGCAAAATAAAGCAAACCAGTCCTAAAACATGAAATATTTTGATAAAGTAAACATATTGAGGGTGAGGATTCAATCCCTAATTGCTTTCAAATGTATTGTAACAAATTCATTGCTTTTGTATAATGCCTAAATAGAATGTAAAAGAACTTGATTTTGGCCGATTTGATAACACAAAGGCAATTGAAAAAACAAAAACTTAAATAGTTGAGACTGTCGACTATGGCAGTAAAATAAAATTGATTATACAAAATGAAACAAACTAGTCCTAAAACATGAAATATTTTGATAAAGAAAATAAATTGAGGACGAGGATTCAACCCCTAATTGTTGATCTTAAAAAAGTAATGAAGGATTTGTGAGGCATAAAACACCCAGCACCGGCAATCGTCCAAAGAGTGGATACGAAACGAACTACAATGCGTTTGAAGAAGAGTGACAAAAATGAGGACTACCCAAAACAAATTGAAACTTATATTGAAATTTTTGTAAAGCTGATTCTAAAATGGAATTGTTGGAATAGGCATTGGGAATATGGGTAGGCGTAAAACAGTTGAATTAATGCCTCCCATTTGGAATGAGGAATGACAAAACGCTTGAAGAGAATGGGTAAGATCCTGTACATGAATAAATCAATTGAACCAATTGCGTGGGAGAATTAAAATTTAACTTAAGTAAATTGACCAATGGAAATAAATATATGCTGACCAATCAGTGGCCTCCTATAACTTTTATTAATATATATTGATTGGATCCTTCAAATTAAATTTAAATCACATTAAAAATAAAAAATTATTAAAATTATTTACAATGTTTTATTTTAATAAATATAATATATGATAATATTTTAAATTTAAATCATTTAAAAAATTTAAATGATATAAATCTCATCGTAATAATGAGCTGAAAAGTTGATTCCAACCTTCGTGCTTGCTATTTTTCCCCCTCCAGTCAAATTACTCTGTACACCTCACGCCCTCGAAATATTGTAAAAAAAATAATAATGATAACTATACATGCATATAATTCTGTTTTGCAGGCTTTTAAAAACTTTTGATGATGACCTTAGGTTTTGGGCGAAAAACTAATGACCCACTTTTAACAATTTTTTTTTAAGATTGTTCACATGTATTTTTTTATTTTAAGTAACCAGAGTTTATTTTCTTGTGCGATGTACGGGAAAATTAAAAAAGAAGAAGAAGAAAATCACATCAACCTATTGTAATTAAAATACCAAACTTCAAATGGCACAATAATTATAAACACACGTGTTACTAGAACTAACTCACTTTTCAGGCAAAAAAAAAAAAAAAAACTAACTCATTTTGCTAAACCTAACTTTTGTTAACATTTTTTTTAGATTTTTTCATAGGCATATACATTTTTATATGAAATTTTATTTGTTTTTTATGAGAATTTTTTTTACTTGTTCTATGTTAACGCCATATTATTTAAAAAAATATTACTTTTGATTTTTGTACTTTGTTTGAAATTTGATTTAAATTTTTATTTTTTTATTTCAGTTTCTATATTTTCTTTATCTATAACATTAATTTCTATTTTCAAAAGAACATTAATGTGGCACAAAGAGCACTAGAATTGTTGACGTGTCTATTAACACCGTAAAATTGTGATAATTTGCTAAACTAGCGTTGAAATGGATTTTTTAATCGCCTAATAATTATTTTTAAAAGCTACACCATTTTTTTTTTGCCTCAAAAAAGGTTAACTAGAGTTAAAAGTACAGGGTGAGTTGAATCCAAGTCAGTCTTTTTTTTATCTAATGTAGCTCTTTTAATTTATTTTACTAATTAAAAAGTCAATTTCTACATCAATTTTATGTTCAATGGAAACAAAGTATAGAGACTTGAAATAAAAAAAATGCAAAAACCTAAATCAAAATACAACTATTAGATAAATGGACAATTAATCAACAATACACGCAATAAAAAGAATGAAACAAACCAAATTTGAATAATTTATCCATCTTATAGATTGAGACAAGCATTAGATAACCAAAAAATAAGTTTTTATGTGCAAATAAATTAATAATCAATAAATTAGTAAAATTAATTGATGGCAAAAAGTAAAATAAAAATAATAATTTTGTTATATTCATAAATAATCATTAATAATACTTACATGTTTGAAAATTACAAGCATAGCAAATCGACAATATAACCACGAGTTACATAAATGAAAAGAATAAAAT